ATTCTTTTCGAAGCGGGAAACGTAACGAGCGTGGTCTTTCTGCCTGGAACGGGGCTAATTTTTTATTCATTCGAGCCGGGATATGGGCATTGTGCGAGTCGCGCTGCCCGCTGAAAAGGCGCGGCAATTAACGCCGGGGTACAATGCGTTTTTCCTCTTTTGTTAAGAACGGCGATGCTTCCGAAGCGACGGTCCGTCGCAAAAATTGTTCCGTCACGATGCAAACGATGGCCGGTCCTCGTCCGTTCGATCGGCGCTCGAACGATCATCGTTTTCGATCCTCCGCAGAAGAGGATCTCGAGTTTCCGAAACGCGGGACAAATTCATTAACGCCGCCTCGAGTGGCAGCGGGGATGAAATGGAGTTTTCGGTTCTCGAGAAACGGGTAACACGATGCGATGGGACTGGTGATTCCGCGTTTAGGGCCGAGGCGGCAGGTAGAAGCTGAATCCTATCGAGAATCGTTTCAGTTCGGCGATGGTATCGCTGTCATTAGGCAACCGACACTATCGCCGCTGGGATCGAAGAGTTTCTCTCGGAAACGTACGACGACGCGCGGCAATTCCCCATCCGTGCACAGAAAACTGTTCACGGTTGTCCCGTGATTGCCTCCTCGCGCGATCGATTCAACCGGTTTTATCAGATTCTTGGACATTACCCGTATTACCTGTACACCCGGTTATCGATATCGATCAATTATTAACCGAATGGCCAAATTATTAGGATGTTTAATTTGAATGTGCCGCTACTATGCTTGCACGCATAGACGTCCAGTGTCGCGTTTCCTCGTTACGAACGTCGAGGATTGGTTAAATTGTGTATAATCGATCGTAAGATTTATGGTGGTGGTTGTTCTAGGACGAAGGAATTCGGTATTTTATCGCGATACGTTTCAGCAGTGCCGTCGTAACTTATCGGTGGCCATTTGGTGCGCCACTTTGCAAGACGGTCGCATTTTCGCGGTGTTTATCTCTGCTAAAGACCGTCTTCTTTTTTTCTTGTATTTCGAGAAGTAATTTTTGCTACTCGAACGGGCGTGCTGCAACGAGATAACTGCGCTCGAATTGAAGCGTATCGACGTGAAATAAACAAGGGGATAATCGCGGCGCGTTCGACACCTCGAATTCCATCGCGTCTAAAGTGTTGGCGCGAGCGATATCTCGAGCCAATTGCTCGCGAGCGATCGCGCCGGTCTCGGAGATTAGTTTTGTCGCCGGATCGCGCGTGCGTCTCGATCGAGGCACGTTGGGAGCGTTCTGGTCGATACCGCAATCATTTGTATGCCGGCCACTGAAATCGAGGCGATAGCGATCGCGGCGATTCCTGCCGCGATGAAACACGAAACGATGGAAGGAGCGAACACATTCCACGGCTAGGCGTATCCCCAGAAGGTGTTCCGCCGCTGGACACGGGACACTGTCTAATTGATCAGAAATACAAAAGAATCGAAGCTGGGCCCGTCCGGGGCCCCGGAACGGGCCGCTCCGCGCGGCACGGCCTCATGCGTGTCGACCAGTCACTTCTATAAACATGCTAATGGCGGTTCCCGATAATAAGTTAGTGGCCCCGATAGTCTCGGTCTTTCTGCGCGCGACTCTGCCCCCATACAAATCTCCGTATACCTACGTAAACGACGCGACACGAACGGGTGGAAGCGAAAAGAACAGAGCTGGACCGCGAGGGGCGAGAAAGATGCCCGAGGAGAGGAACGATTTCGAACAAGGCGAGAGAGAGAGCGAGAACGACAGGGAGACACGTCGAGAGACCGCAAAAGAGAGTACAGAGAGCGAGAGAGAAAGTCGGAGTGGCAGGACGAAAGGGCGAGAGGGAGACGAAGAGAAAGAGGCCCGGTCTGACCACGGGAGCGTGCTTTACACGCTGATGCGTTCGAACACGTCGAGCCGGAGAAGCAGAAAGAGGCGAAAGTGGCAAAGAAGCAGGAGGTGAAGGAGCAAGAGGAGGAGGAGGAGGAGGAGGAGGAGGGAATGGAAGGCGGTGGCGGTGGCGGTGGCGGTGGCGGCCACGGCGGTGGTGGTTGCGAGCAAGGAGAAGGTGGCGGAGAAAAGGGCGAGGATCGGACGTGAGGGGGATCGAGGGGGGGCAGCAAGGGAGGAGGGTTAGTAGCTCTTGTAACGCTATCAACCCTGTCGCTGTACATCACGTCGACACCATCCTAGTCGACTCATTTCAGACCGCAAGAGTAGTAGGAGTTGGCTTCTGCGCCATTACTCCGCTCGGCGGCCCTACGTGCACACGCAAACACGGCCCGAGAGGTCTGCGCGGCCGAGCCACGTATACGCAGGTTGCACGCGAGGCCGACGATCGAGACCAACAGACCAACGGAAAGAAAGAGAGAGAGAGAGAGAGAGAGAGAGAGAGAGAGAGAGAGAGAGAGAGAGAGAGAGAGAGAGAGAGAGAGAGAGAGAGAGAGAGAGGGAGAGCGAGTGAGAGACGGTAGAATGTGTGTTATATCCTGGCAGCATATTCCCCCGAGGACCAACCGATTGCGTAAAATAAAATCCAACGCCCCGTAATGCGGACGGAATTTATGCGGGGAACGGTGCTTTACGAACGGGTAATTGCGCTGTTACGATCTACCGAATATTCCCCGGCGAGACGGAATGCGATCTCGCGAAACTCACCCTTTCGTTCTACGCGTCGATCCCTGCGATCGCGTCTACGCACGGTCGATCGATCGATCCCGAACGGAGAACTCGAGAGCGCGTTTTTCGGACGGCGGTGGAGATCCCGTCCAGTGAAAAAGGCATCGTCGTGGCGCGGGGGCAGGCGAAACCGGCGGTGCTCGAGACGTGCGAGAACGTCTGTTTCTCGTGGGATATCTCCCGGCCATTTCCGTTTAATTGATCGTCCTGAAACGTTGGCACGTATATGTGCTCCGTGGATCGAAGACGATACCAGGACGGCGGTTTCAATGGTCAGTGGACGAGCCAATTAGCTCCGTCCCAATGCTCAGGTACACTCTTCTGCCTCGGTCTTCCCCCTGACACCCTCGCTGTCCTCTCTCTCGTACGGTCGTGTCTATCTTTTTCCCACACGGCCACGGATTCCCGGCCTATATGCGACCTGGAAGGCTTCCGGGCTGAAGCGGGACATTACGGCTCCTCCCCACCCCAATCTCTCCCCAACCTCCCCGTTTCCAGCTCGGACGGAACACAGAAAACCGAGGTCCTATCTTATCCGCGAAGAAGTTTATAGCCCGGTCGACTCTAATTGGGCGAGAAATCATCGGGCACTCCTTTCCTTCGTCCGCTCTCTCGCTCAAAAAGACGCTCACTAATTCACGATTTCTCGCGTATTATGGCTGGACCGTGCCACCCTTTTCTCCCACCTTCCCACCCCTTGCGCTCTCCACATCCGCTCGCACTTTGGGTCTCCGCGTCGCGCGTTTTTGGCGTTTGCTCTCTCTCTCCCGAGGGTTGCGTTAGTTGTTAGTTTTTCGAAAGTCTCTGACTCTCGCTGCTCGAAACCCGACATCGTAAATTATTGTTTCGCCGAGTCCCCGAGGGGGTCGACCGACCGAAATCGAGTCGCGGCGCAGGACAGGCGTAATCAGAAAAGCGTCTGCGGTCGGTGCGTGCAGGGCTTATCGCGGGGGCATTTTTCTGGAGGCAGTCGGTACGCGGTCGCGTAGCGTGGAAGGCGAAAAAGATAAAGAGGAAGGGAAGCGCGCGCGATTCAGCGTGCACGGAAAGGTGCGCTACGCTCGGCAGGCAATATCTCATTGAGCAAAGGAGGAGGTGACTTTAACGTCGGCCCCACGCTCTTCCCATGAGCAATCGCGGCTAAGACGGGCCCCGACGTGCCCGGTACGAGTAAGATCGTTAATCTTACCGCACCGATCGGTCTCAGATAGTAATTGTTACGTTCTCGTTTCTCCTGGCTGACTGCCTGAATGTGTTCGACGATCCCTCCTTCTGTTCGACCGAGTCCTTCTCCTCTCCTCACCTTTTCCTCCACCTCCTCGAGGCTTCTCCCCCGGAGCCACCCCGTTTCCCGCGTGTGCTCGACTCCTCGCTCGGTCGTCCCTTGTTCTTTCTTTTACGGTGGGAGTGCCGAACGATCCTCACCCACCACCGGTGTTAATGCCTTTCGCAAGTTTGTTCGCATTACAATAACGTCGAACCCTCTCTCCGCGCGGCGTATCGCCTCCGCCGCCTTTTGTACGACGCTCTTACCCTTCATCCCGCTTTCCTCCTCTCTTTTCTTCTCTATTGTCCGACGATTTCACCGCTCGTAATCTCCTCTCGACGGATCTCCGCGAGCCGGTTTTTTTCTCGCGTCTCCGGTTTGCGCGAAATTATGCCCTCGAATCCCGCGTACGAGTCACCCGGCTACCGCGGACAAAGATGCTCGAACGAGAGAAACTGGACGGCCGGGGACGGCGAGAGAGCGTTTGGCAATTTTGTTTCAATTACAAACGCGATCGTGTACCTTTTTGGTCGCACGGTCCCCTGGTCCTTGCCCCGCCTCGTCCCTCCGTTCGGTCGTTTTTTCACTCGGCCGTGCGCGCATCCCCGGCTCGAGCGTGGTTATAAATTTGGTAGTCGCGTTAACCGCTGACGGGGACCACGATATCCGAAATGTCGGTGGATCCGGTGTTTTCGTGCTGTCCGCCAACGACCGATTCCACCCGTGCCCCGAAAGAGTGTCGCCCGAGAAACCAGTTTCGCGCGCAGATTCCTTATTTGCGAGCCCGACGAAACCGTAGATTCGAGTTAATCGTCGACGAGAGCCTTTCGCCCGTCCTCTCTGCCCTCCTCGCGCCTCGTTTCGCACACGCTTCAAAAGTTACGAATTGCTTCGTTGAGAACCGTGTACCCCGGTCCGTACCACGATCCTACGAAACTCTACGAGAACGAGGAATCAGCTCGAGGAGGGGATCATGGAACGATCGCCGAGGGGGGATAGGGTGGGTGTGAATTTGAACCGTCTTCGAGTCGTGTTGGATCGTAAATGACCATTATTAAAGCCTTGTGGGTATTTACAAACGAATTCATTTAAATAAAAGTCGCTTTAACAGAGTTTGCTTACAGGATTTATCGTCGTCGCGTCTACTCCTATCTATACAGTGCCCTAGGCAACGCATTATCCGTGGCAATAATGATTCGGCTAAGACTAGCTTCCGAATTGGTTCGAGCACTGTCTTTCTTTGCCGTCTCGAGCAAACGGAAACCACGCCGCGTGTAAACTCTACCGGTTATTCTTCCGATTGGATGCCAAAACGTAAAATTTAATAATTTCCAAAACACTAACAAACACGCGTAAAATTATAATTTTGTCGGTTCACGATACACTATGAATAAAAAAACCTAACGCAATATCTCGGAAACTATTAAATTCCCGAAACCAAAGTGTCCGTGCACCACTCGGAAGAACAGCCAATCGTAGGTATCGGGACAAGCAATTGATTACCTATCTAAAAATCGACGATCCAGGTGGATATTATTGGGCTTCGTCGTTCCTCGCAACGTTTCTTCGTAGCACTTAGCGTAATCTTAATCGTAATAAATGGGCCGTAATCGTAGTAAGTAGCTGCATGGGTACTAGGGACGATTTACGGGATCTCGCCGATAAGAAAGAAGAGTAGGAGACATTAAGCAAACGATACGACGGCTCTCCCGTTCGCCGCCATTCTTCAATGAGATTCCTCGATCGGACGCTGGTTCATTGGCTGGTTTCCAGCGGGACGCAGTGTCCGCGTTCGAATTCCAGGATCGGCTCGAGTTCGTTGCACCGCGCGAGTTTGTGGCTCGACGGTCCGCCGCGGCGATCTACGGGAAACGAATCGAGAGTTTTTTCGTTCAACGTTTTTTCCCCCGGCGTGCACTCGAAATTCGGTGGGGTCTCGCGACGGAAATCAACGATCGTGCTTGGTGAGTTCCAACGGTTGCTGATCCGTCCAGTGATCCCGCCAGGCGACGGTCGGCGATGAAGGAACGTCCTGGTCCGAGTCCTGGACGTCGATCTCCTCGTCGTCCTCCTCGTCCTCGGCGCGTTCAAAGTCCTCGTTGTTCGTCGACTCGGGGACGAGTCCTGTCGCCAGGTTCGATCCGTGCCTCTGGTGGTCGTAGGTCGGGCTCGAGGGCCTCGGTATGCTCGGCGAGTCGTCCCCGACCAGCTGACTGATCATCCTGAAGGCGCTTGGCTTCCTCTCGGGCTGCTTCGCCACCGGCTCGACCCTCTCGATCCTCTCGTTTCTGTCGGCCGCCTCTCTCGACGAGGAGTTGGTGACGACCGCGCGGAACGCGCTACTTTCGCCGCCCATGCCGGCGATCGAGCAACTTGACGTACGGTTTATTTCCATACCGGATGCGGAATGCTGTTGCGGCGGCGGTGGCTGCTGCTGCTGCTGCGGCGGTGGCGGCGGCGGAGGTGGCGGTGGCGAACGCTTTAAGAGGTTCATGCGCTGATGACGACGCCACTTTGCCCGTCTGTTGGAAAACCAAACCTAAGAGTCACGAGTTAGGTCGTTAGAAGGCTCGTGATCAAATTTCTAAGGCTCGGGGGGCTGCACGCGAAGCACGGGCGTATTCTCCTGCGACGCCGACGCTCGCGCTCTACGGCGTGTTCGCTCCGTCGTCGGTTTGCCCCAGAAAAAACGTCCACGGGGGACGAGACGAAAGGGAAACCCCGGTCGAGAACGTGCCCTTGCGAAACCAACGTGCTAGCCCTCCGAGAAAGATATCTGGGATGGAATTGATCCTCACCTGCACACGAGCTTCCGAGAGAGAGGTCTTCGAGGCTAGCCGTTCGCGCGTAGACACGCAAGGATAGTGAGATCGCTCGAACTCCTTCTCGAGCTCCTCCAGTTGTTCCGGGCTGAACGTCGTGCGATTTCGCCGGAACTTTGGCTGCTCCGAACCGTCCAGACTTCCGTCGTCACCGTCACCGTCTGTACAGACAAACCCTTTTTCTACTACCTTCCCTACGGTCCGGCTCCTACGCGACCTATTCACCGTCCGTTCGAATCATTATGCTTCGAACTACTCGTCGCAATCAATGCCCCATTTCCCGGTACGTCGAATGACTCGCGAGCTGCGCGAAACGAACGACGAATTTGCTCCGAGCATTAGACCGGCACGTATGACGCATCGTTTTCGCGAAGCTTGAATTTTGCATCGCGATGACGCAAACGACGCGATATTTCATTGTCTACAGTCATCGTATCGAGGCGGAAGGAGATTCTTGCGACACACGCGTGCATCGACACAATGTGCGAGCGAACTATCGCGAAAGGTATTTCTCCGCGAATCAGCTAGTACACCGTCTTGAATCGCGTAGAATATTTCGATCAAATGTATAAAGTTTCAAAGATTCGCCATGTAGAAAATCAACAGCAACAGAGGGTTGAAAAGTTAGCATTCGCGAGACTGTCGGTGTTGAAAAGTTGAAAAATGGTCGTCGCGTTATCCTGGCGGGGCAATAACGATGAATTCCGAAGGTAATAATAGGAGGATCGGTGATCACCTTGCAAGTATCCTCGAGCGATCGCGTCGGCGTGCAAGGAGTGGTCCGTGGTGCCCGCCGCCGAGGCGGAAGCGGCCGCGGCCGCGGCAGCTGCGGCTCCTGGGCTCAAGGACGGGGGCAGCAGCAGAGCGGAAGCTGCTCCGGAGATTCCGGTAGCCAACGGCGGCAACATCCAAGGATGGCCCGCCGCTCCCGGCGCTGGCCAGCCGGCGGGCAAATGGTGGCTGGTCGTCGGATGCTGATGGGCGCTGTTGAAGTACGGATGCGGACCGGCGGCGTACAAACCGTATCCGGCTGCACGCGCGAATTCCGCGGCCGCGCGTTCCGCCGCGCGATTACGCAGAATTCGGTTGATGCTGCTCACTGACGGCGCCGTCGCGTTGCTGCATACGCCTGCAAAGTACAGAGGGGTGCTTCTTCTGGAACGGTCTCGTTTATGCTCTGTTGTCTTTCGTATCGGTCAAAGCCGTCGCATTGTTAATCGAAACGTTTCAAATTGCAAAGGCTGGCGAGAAAGAATAGAGAAAAGTAGCTTCGTTTTCCCGGCCAGAAATTCCATTACAAAGATGGTGAAAATTTCTAGACCCTGGTTAAGTATTCGTTACGAGCTGAGTATAAATATTCAAATTCCGTTGGCTTTGTAACAAATTTAGTCTTCGTCTCTTTCTTATAACGTGCCGAACCGACAATATTAAACGGCGTACAAAACGTTACATTCGATTCGTGTCGTTCGACTTCCTTCGGAATAGGTATCGTGCCTCGCGCGTCGTCTCTTACATAATGTTTCCAGGATTTCGATCTTTTGAAATTGACAAACGATACGTCTCGCATCCGGTGCTTTCTACGTTCCCGAATGCTCGTAATTTTCATGTAAATCGCGCACGGGTGACGCTACGGCACGCCTTTAACGAGAGAGTTCCTGCAACGTGGGATGAACGTAAATGCGAATTTGGATAATTAATAGACGACGTCAAGAAAAGACCGTTGATCGCACGAAAGCACGTAAAGCGAGACCGGACGCGTCGATGCTCGCTTTGAAAAGAATAAAGTGTGTCGGTGGACAAGGCCGTGGTAGAGTTTCTTGATTCTACCTTACAATTGTACATTGTTCCCGGACACATGCGACTATTATTACGGACGATTTGCACCGGCGCAACAACCACATTGTGCTCGCAACATAATTGAACGACAAGTTTGCTCGCTGGTTTACGGGCAATTACAAAACCGAACAAACCTTTAACGAACCCGAACGCGTTGACGTAGCCGCGAATCGTTTGAAAAATCTCCCTTCGAAACTGGAGTGTCTAAATCCCTTACTTTACAAATCAACTTGCTAATCTATCGCGTTCTTACCGCTCAACGCGCTATTTCGATGCGTCGTTTCTCGGTTTCTCGATCGAACCTATCGTAAAATGTGACGAAGGATGTTGCTTACCTTCGGAGATGAGTCTCTCCCGAATTTCCCACGCGAAGATGGTCGGGTTTTCCCTCTTGTACTGCTCGATCTTCGCGACGACGGCCGGCGTCGCGACTTTTGGCTTGCTGCCACCGATCAAACCTGGCGGGCGTAGCGTACCTGGAACACGTTAGATCAAGCTTCAAGGACGCGTTGCTTTGGCAATACTCCTCGTTGGCGATAAAATCGCTCATAAACGGCGATACTGTGTCGCCTTTACGTGCCTCGTGTCGCGTTCGAAGTCGTCGTCGGACCAAACCTCTCGAAATTAAAAAAAATCGCGATTATCTCGATCTAATGACAATGTTCGAGATAGGTACCACGCCAGAGTAAATGATTTAGATTCGTTCTGAAACTTTGGTCTAAAACCTTCACTTGTAGATTATGGAACGAAGTATAAAGTTGCCTTACGAATGAATCTAAAACTTTTAATTTGTTAACTGCGAATATAATTGAAAACAGCTTCGCGACATCTCTTCAAACATTTGCACAGGTTGTTTTGCGCATTGGGTAGCCAAAAGTCGCAGTTTTGCGAGTCGTGGAGTGTCTCGGAAAATATTAATTAAGCCATTTTTTTCCATATACGCGATGATAGAAGTATGGTCAAACGCGAACGTTTGAATATACGACTCTGGCCACTTTCATAATGACCGGCGCATATGGTCTTTGGCATCGTTCTGAAAGCAGTTGTGCAATATCGTTTTAGTTCTTCGAACGTTAAGAATTCCATGTATCCATGTTCGATGTTGTCATCGTCGTTGAATCACCTCCTCAAAACAGGCGCCATTGTTCGAAAAAGGTGATAGACGGTGCGTCTATTCACGGTACGCTGAATCGATTATTGCATCGACCGTAGAGTTATTTTCGAAAATTAATCTCGTGATTAACGCGAGAGAAGGTTATTACTTCCCCCCCAGTAACTTTAATTAAAGTATACTTTCTTTCATAATTTATTTCGCTGTACTTTTTGAGAAAGATGAACGTTACGCGTACAAAAGCTACGGTAACAATTTCTGGTTTAAACTTTAAACGCTAAATCGAGTGTAACGGTTTTCTAACGCGAACTATGCGACGTGCAGTCACTGCTGAAATAGCCAGGCTGACGAACAATGCGTTTGGAAAATGCTAGAACGAACGCGGACCGTACGTTTTCGTGACTCGTGGCTAATAGGCTAGTCATCCGACGCGAATGACTTCTCGAAAAACAATAATGATACCCGTTGCCAAAGGAATTCCCCGTGCGCACGATAGTCCGGAGGATTCGTTCTCGAAACGACGACACGGCACGAACGCGTCGTTTAAATACAATATTATTAAAGGTGTATTATCTTACGAGGAGTAACGTCTTGTTTGGAATAATCAGGTATTCCGTTGCTCGACATTTATTATTCGGATAGAAAGTGTCGAGTTTCCCCGTGGACAAAATGGAGATACAAAACGATACCGGCTCATCCTTCGTTGAAATCTCGCGGAGCATACGTTCTCGACACCGGATACTAATCCTATCGTGTCTGGGCGGACCCACGGCGCAGTCATTAGAAGCTTAGCGCGTGAAACGATACCGGCATGCGATAGCATGCGATAATCAGAGATATCTAATATGAGCCGATCGCGGAATAGACGCCCGTGTAACGTTTCCGATACTTGTTCAGGCTGCCATGCTGTTTTGTTACGTTTCTCGCCTCTCCCAGTGCGAGTGCGCCGCCTCGGGCCCCTTCGGATTAGCTAATCGTCCCCGGGACCGAACGTTCAAAGTCGAAAGCTCGCGCAAATTTAACGACCTCGTTTTCTCTTTCTCCTTTTCGGTCGCGTTTATCCGAACCGTAAACCATCATCCGGTTCCGACCAACCGTTTCGGATTTAGCTTCTTTCGTTCGTAAATTTACCCTCTTATAGCGTTCTTCCGCGACTCCGACTCCGACTATCTACATTCGTACAAAAGATGGCGGAGTTCCTTGGTCGTTGCATCGCGATCGGGACGCAATTTTCCGACGCCAGCCGTCGAAGATCGCGATACGCGACTCGAGATTGCGGAAAGCCGCGAGCAGGCTTCGCTTTGACGCTTCTTCCGTGGCCGGCTCGCGTCGGTTATCATTGATTTTACTACTTCACCCTTCGTTCTAGCTTCTGCGGGTTGCAATTCCCCGGGTAGAGCCGACGCTCGAAGCGGACGAGTCTGACTGCATAATTCAGGTTGCAGGCGCAACGAGACCCAAGTAATTGTAGAAGGTTTCGCGGTATCATTATCGACGATGGCTACGCTAAAGCTGTTGTGCGTCAGAGACGCACAGGTATTACGTGAACGCGTAAATACGAAGACCAACAAACGGCGAGGAAATGCATTGAACGGTACAACGCGCCTACTTTTCGTACATTGGTCGATCAAAGTTTTAGGATGACCGAATAACAGTGGACAGTCCAACGAAGGTTCTGTTTCCCCGAGTTTGTCTTTGCGAACAACAGAAGGGTTGTACCTCTATATTTTGCCCGACGAGACGAGACAGGAGACGTGTACGTGGTTCCGTCTTTGTTTAACGACCGTTAATATCGACGTTCGATCCTTTTGCTTGGCGTCTCGTCTCGTTGGACAAAGTATAGGTCATCGTGGTTGGTAATCGCGGACAGTTGCGTCGCACAGTGGTCCCAAAGGTCGATTGTGTCTCCGTGGACTCGAAACGCCCGCGGGAGAGTCCTCGAAACGGACGACGCTGGCAAGGTAATGGAAACCAGAGGCGCAGGCAGACTTGAGCAATTATCGGTCGTTACGTACTATTATTAATAACAATAATGACGGCTAAAGTCGGCAGGATATCGCGTGCGCTCCCACGGGTGAAGTGCGTGCCGGGTATAAACGATGTACCCACCTAATAGGTATCCATGCCTCGAGCAAATTCCTTGCTTCGACCCGGTGTCTCCTCTCCTCGTTCCTCGTTCGTCTTTGTCTCTCTCTAGTTTTCATTCTCTGTGCTTCTACACTTTGTCCCGCGTGCAAGTGTGCACGCCGCTCTCCGCTCGTTTACGGAACGTTTTCGAGACAGGCCCATTTAATGAAAGAAACTGCACGAAGCTGCGATTCCTCTGCCTACTGGCTACATCCTTGCCCCGGCCAAACACGGACTAACGGACGTCGGACGTCGGATCTCGAGGCCGCGACGCATTCGTTTCGTATCGTGACGGCAAAGAAAAATCATCGCTCGAGGGGAATCATTTTCGTTCCATATATTAAAGCTGCTCGAATATAGCTGATTCTTATTGTAATTTTCTGCCTTCGACCCGCACGAGGCTTCTCTTTCTCGACAAAACCGAAACCCAACGGTCTTGAAATTTCGTAAAATTAATAGAGAGAAGAGTCACGATGGAAAATGGGCCTAACGACGTAGGAAGAGAGGCCCCCGTTGGCAGTGGGGGTCGTTCGAAACAAAAGCGTACCGCGGACGGTCGTGTGGTGCAGGTTCGACTCGTTCGTCCGTTCTCTCGTTGGTTATTTTCATCGCGGAGGATCGCGGCGATCGATCTTGTTGCGCGTGGATAAGAAGACCGATAGCGGAGCGGCGGAATTAATTATCGGGGCACCGCAGCGGCGAGGAAATTAGACGATATCGGCCGCGGAGCGTTACATTCTTCTCTGGGGTTTGGCGAAATTTATTGTGCGCTGATAGAGCTCGTTCGCGGAACACACCCGGTCGGTATATGCACACGGTGTGCATTCGAGCGGCGAGATCTGTCTCGTTGAATTTGTCCGTCGTCGTGGGCTCGCGAGGCGGAAGACGAATGCGGGGAGTCGATAAAACCGTGACGCTCGCGAGCCCAGCGTACGGTTATCGGCGAAACGAGCGTGTGTCCCCGGCGATCGAGGGAAATAGATTCCACATCGGGGAGGAATCGGTACCAGCGCGGCCAGGGACCACGGATGGTGCCGGTGGATTAATTGTTTGCCGCTGTTAAGTAATTGGCCGGTCGATTATGGTACATTATATTCACCTCGGGACGCCTAAGGAGTCTGTATCCGGTGGAGATGAAGACATTACTGGCGAGCCGAGAGAGCAGGCCGAACGGTATTTTTACGAGCGGCTCGTAAAGTTAACGAGGACCGAGCCAGCCAGCAGCCACCCGAGAAAGAGAGAAACCCGGCGTTCCACCGATGCTCGGTGGCTCGCCTCCATTTTTTATTGCTCTGACCAGCCACGTTCTGCGTTCTTCTTCCTCCTCTGCGGACCGAGCCGAGCTCCCGTCCGCACGGACGCCGCTCCACGACCGGACCATATTTTCCCCTGAATCGTTTCACACCTGCGCCGCGCCGAACTCGCACTCGCCTATCCGCCCCGATCGCTGATAAAACGTTCCTCCTTCGTGACCGCGATCGACCACTCCGCTTTGCTGGAATTCAGAGCACCGTGCGCGCCGATTCCACCCGGCTATAGTACCCGCGAACAGGAAAGTCGAGAATAGCTTCGAACGTTGAGCTTGATCGATGAACCGCAGACTCCCCAGTTTCTGGAAGCTATTGACATTTGCAAGCGATCGAGACCAACGTATATTTTCAGCCTTGGTAGGAACTCGTTAGTCGATTGACGCACGGTCACCCAGGAAAACGAGATTTCCCCCAAGGAAATACGATTTTCGCGATTGGAAAATGTTCTCCTTCGAACCTTCCTCCGCGTTGTGTCTCGTCGTTCTCGATTTCTCGGTCCCAATCACCGGCAATTACAATTTTTAAATTCTGTTTTGATGTTCGACGGTAATGTCCTAGATTATTGCGTCCTGCGTCTTGTCGGTGTCGCGTAAAAACGTCCGCAACTGGCGATAACTTCCGTGAGAATATACGCCGAGCCAGGAACACGGAACATCAAAGGATCCAGGAAATTATCGACGAGTTATTTGAGAACCCGCGAACCGGCGAAGCTGATGTTTTACGCGCGAAAGAAACGGCCGTTACTAGTTAATCTCGACCGCCTAACGAGCTCGAAAGAGCGTCGTTTCTTCGCTCGTTGTTTCTTCCTCGCTCGTGCCAACGCGACGCGTTTCTCGTTTCCCCTGCAAACCGTTTAGAATATACCGACCAATCTTGCCTACGTTCTTCGCGTCAGATCGGACATCGACCAACGCCGATTAACGTCCACGCGTTTGAACTGAACGCGAATTTAAATTTGATGCGCATCGAAAGATCTTCGATTCAAAGTCTTGAGAAATTTTCCAGTTGTAAACGATGAAGACGAATGTACGATCATTGAGTTTGAAAGCATCCTTTTCGATCTACCATGCTGTCGCGAGCTGGGTCTCCGTGTTCTCGCGTTTTAACAAATAAGCGCCCGACCTTTGCCGGTCTGCTCGCTGCCAATGAAATCTATCTGCATCGACAGCCGTCGATACTTTTTCGTTTCCTTGACATACTGGCCGCTTGGTAGACACCGTGTTGCTGGCTTGCGCTTTCTCTCGCTAAAACAAACGCGGATTAAGGAACAAACGCGGAGCTGAAGTCGAGAGGCTTGCAGCAGAGCCACGGATTAAAATTTCAGACCGACTCGTAAACTCGTATGCACTTTTCTAAAACGAACTGCAGAAGGAAGGTGCTCTCGGACTCGTATCGAATCGAAAAACCGTACAGTACGAACGTAGATCGGCAAAAATTCTTGAAGAGGCACCTGGAATAATTGCAGGCGTTCGAAGGAGGCTGCGAGCGGATCGGTCGCTTCCGCGTTGCGGCGCATTAGACGCGATTAAAACGATATCTTTGGATCGACCGGATAGTCTAACGAAGGGGCGCAGATGCAATTACGAGCGAATAATTGCTCGACGTCCAGGGAAATAATAGCCACCGATCTCGCCAGCGGGTCTCGAGTCGTTCGTTTGTTTTTCCGATTTCGAGCGGTTCGTTTTTGCGACGATCGGAGCACGAGCGGCGGCGTAACTGATTTCGCGCGCGTTGCTCGGCTTTGCGCACTGCTCATTTTGCAATCGCGTTTCGACCGTAGTTTCCGAGCGTTCGTGGATCAAAAGGTTCAGATCGAAAGGGAAAAGATCACAGAATAACAGACACAGTTATTTTAAATTTATTTTAGATTTTACCACAGTGTGAAATTTACAGAACAGAAATTGCTGGCTTCGAGGTACAAAAGTGATCGATTTGACGTTGGAACGGCTCGTATACGAGCGCACAACGAGCAAAGCTGTTCGGAAGTTCTGACTTCCATGTTTCTTCGCGCGGTCATAATGCACTGTTCGCGCGAAGAAGAAGCGAGCTGTCGCCGCTACTAGGTATTTTACCGTGGAACAAAAGAGGGGTTGATTTTGCTGCAGTTAACCTTAGTTCGGTTGAAGTTTTTTTCCAACTTTTCAAATTACAGAGAACCGACAGGATAGTATTAGGTGTGCCACACGAAAAGACTGTTCCACCGATCCAGCCATCCAGACTACCGACAACTTTTCTCTCTCTGCGTCTAGTATCGGAATATAGGGGTTCTAAAAAGAGATTACAAACTTTAAGGCTACGTAACGTTCGCTAAAGCGTGAAAAGAACCGTTGAAAAATGTAGTCAGGGTTAGAAGCGATCGTTCATTGTTGTCGGAGTAAGATTTTTAAGCAAAGGATCGTCCGATCGTAATCTTCTTCCGATGCTTAAAAAAGATGTATGTGTCTTTCTTTCATTGTCACATATGCTCCGCGTTATTAAATATTTTTATTCAAAAGAAAAGCAGGCTGACAAGTATTTTACAGTGTAATTCAACCAAAAGAAAAATAATAGGTATTCCTGAGTTTGTTCGAATTCCTGGATAAGCATATAATATCCGACAAAACAGGAAAGTACCGTCAAACTTAATATTTCAGCCCACGTCGATTGGGTATTTTACTGAATCGAGCGAGCGTCGTATGCCTGCAGCTTATAGCCATTTTTTCGTAATGTACGTATCGCAGAAATCGCGTTAATCGTTCGCGGGGCGGCCATCTTGTCGTGCGACTCTTTCTTATTTTTAGATTAATTTATCGACGTGACTTTGATAGACTTCGGTTGGTTCATCTTCAAGAACTCGTTCAGTGTCGATTTCAAAGCATCCAAGTCGTTAAAGTTCTTGTTTCGCAAAAAGTCGCTTCAGCATCGGAGTAGGTAAATGGTATCATAAACTTTGTCGATAGTCGTAGCAGTTGGTCGTGGCGTGTTCTCCCTTTATAGAATTCGAAAAAGAGCTAGTACACTGACTTCCAAAGAAACTTGTTTATATGTACTACAACGAACGCGTCGGAGTTATTTCCAATCGGTTCGCGGATCCAGTCGCGTTCGATCGGAAGTCGAATTTTCCTTACGTTTGTGTTTCGAATCGAAAACTATCGTAACTCGTCGTCCGTCGTTCCGAATCGATCGACGTTCAAACGCGTAGGCCTGGACGTACTTTGGTCGTATCAAAAGTTTGCACGGTGAATTACGTAAAGACTCGTGGCACGAGCTGATATTTAATTTAATAAATAACCGCCTACGAACCATACTAATTCTTATAGCAGAGGCTTTCGCGACTCGGGGTTTTTTACGGTTAATACCGTCTGGGGCTGTCAGGCGCAGGTCGTGACCTTTTAGAAAAATGCCTCATCGTCGACCGTCGCTTTTCCTTTCTAAGATTTCTAACGCGATGGAAATTGTACCGCGGATCCACCGAGTAATTTCTAAACAAACTACTTCATCTTCGGCATTTATCTGTTTGCTCTGGCAACTGCGGGCGATCAATCAGCGAGGACGGCCCGATTTAATACCAGTTTCCTTCTTCCCGCGTCGTAATATCTACTCGCTGCAGTTATCGCAACGAATCCCACGTCATTTTTGCGAAATTAAAGATAGCACGCGCTATCGTTTCGCGCGGGACGGTGATTAATTATAGTACGGTTCCGAGATTATTTCGAGAAGAACACGGCTTGCACCCGGAAGCCACGAAGGGTACGGAGAATGTAACGGTACGAACGTATCGGGAACTTACCCAAAAGTTTCGTGACGACGGCACCTTGTTGATTCAACGACAGCACGTGGTTGGCCAGGTCGTTGTAGTGCCTAAGGGCTCCTAATCCGTGCGACAGCTCCAGCAATCGTTGTCGACTGGCTCCGCCGCCATTACCGCTGGCAAATGGTCCCGCGGTACAGTTCTGCAAGCTCACGCCTGAAAGTACGACGACAACGCGATCAATTATTGCCTATCGATACGTTAAATGGGTCTAGTTTGTCTTCGTCCATAGTTTCTCTAACAAGATCTCGACCAACGTCTCTTGCGATCGGGGTACATAGGACCCCAGGGCCCCTTAAAAAGAGACCAGCAACGGATCAGGGATTCTCGGGTAGTTTTTCCAGGGCAGAAAATCGAGCGGTTCGTTTCGTGTTAAAGGCGGGCATAACGAGCGTGTCGAAAGCGATCGCGCGAACGTGGCGGCATAATCGAGCGAATTAATTTAAATTACTCGAGCCGGCGGCGACGGGACGCGATCTCGTCTCGATGCGATCTCTCGAGACGGAGGATATCGAGCTTGCGAACCGTCGCATCTGCCCGGCGAAATCGCGGCGATTAATCACGCGGAGGTGCGAAGACCCTCTGTAATTCCTCGAAGGACACCTCGGGAGCGGTTCGCGACTTCCTCGTGATTTTATAGGCGGCTAATCTCGGCGACGTTTCGTTTCGTGCCGGTGAAGAGACCGAGACCGAGAGAAAGAGAGAGAAAGAGAGAGGGGGGAGGGCGAGGATTTACGATCGAACGGACCACGGTATTGAGAGCGATCCATTTTTCGCCCGGCGAGCCTTACTTCGAGAGCCTCGAGCGCCGATCGTATCTTTCCCCGAAGGGGTGTGGTGGCGGGGTGCGAACACGAGAGGAGGCGATCGAAAAGGGTGTCGCGACGGACAGTTCGCGTTTACGAAAACCAGATCGAGCGCGTTTCTTTTTTCTTATTTCTTTCGCCAACGGCTGCTGACTTTTCATAGCGCTCCTGTGGATCCTCGCGATCGTGCGAAACGATCGCACGACACTCGGTGTCTCTCGCGCGTGGATCCACCGGTTCTCGAATTAATTTCCGAGAGGATTCACGGTCGATGGAATAATCGTAATTAGCGTCCAGTACGCGGACAGTCGGTGATTTTACGGGCGGATAATCTTAACGACGTTTCTTACGATCCGCGGCGACGATAATTTACGATCGAACGACGGCGTCGAAGAGGAGCGTTCCGCGCGTCCGCGGCACCACGGAGAACGGCGCGATCCTCTCCGCAGCCTCGTCGACAACGATCGGACGTCGTTCAGGGGAGGGAATCGCGGACGGGAAATTAAATTCAGGAGGTAGATAGAAACGGCCGATCCCCGGCTCGTTTGTAACGCGTTGTTTCGACTGGTTACGAGCGGGGCCCGAGCGCGCGCGCGTACGCGTCCGCTCGTTTACATAGGGGCCCCGTTTAATTAATTAGTCTTTTACGGCCCTGCTGAATTGCCGATCACCGCCCCGGACGGATTTTACGCGAATATCCGCCACTCGTTATCCGGCTTACAGTAATTTCTTCTCCACGATACACGGCCCTGATATTCGACAAAGTAACTTAGACGCGTTACGGAACCCCCGCGATTTATCGCGACGCCGCCCGAGCCGAGAAATAAATTCAAACTCTTTGCCAAGTCTGATTTCCACCGCTGCCTTCGCGAGTACGCCATTGTTTTATCCGAGAGTTCATACGCTGCTCGAGAACGCCGGGGGACGCTTCTCATTTGGAATTCAAATTTCGTCAATTTAGGGGTCCAACCCGAACGTCAACAACGAAAGAAATACTGGGCGTTTGTACGTTCTGGGTTGTGGAACGATATCGAACGGTTTCGTTAAAAATATCAATGAAACTTGGCGGCTCGATCTTTCGATCCTTTGAAAGCAGTCCTCGATACTGGTCTAACATTTCTTTCTATTTTTTTTTCCTCCCACTTGTTACCAGTTTACACGATACGAAATGCGTAATCGATAGTTAAACAACGTTTTGCAAAAGTTTCGAGCAAGGAGTCTTCGGTAGAATTAGCATATCGCCGTTCGCGAACGGCAACGCAAGTAGAAGCAGTAGATTAATAGACAGACATCGGTGCTCGAGTCGTATGTACTCGTGCTCGCACGCGTATCTCCAGTCTCGAGCACATTCTGTATCGATCTGCAAAATATACACTGTATATTTTTTCTATACTTTCACGCGACGAATCGTTATCTTCGTTGTTGGCGAGCAATTAACGAAGCAACAACGCGCAATTACGTTTCAACGCTTTTGATTTAAAATGTACCAAGGTACGCGACGCGTATTATTAAAAACGACAAAGGGGCGATTCGGAGTGGAAACGTATAGTTTTCCATGCTCGTAGAAAATCCGCGGTTCTCAAAATAAAATTTGTCCAAAGATAATAAAGCATGCCTCGGCATATCGCAACGAGACGTGCGTTTTAAGTTTTCAGCTTGCCGTGGTCGCTAAAATGAACTCTACCCATTATTAATAAGTACACGACAATAAAAAACGATCGATTTTTAAAGATGACAATGCGAAGTGAGAGTTCCGCGTGTATTTTAATGGGTTTGGAACGAAGTACGAGATAATAGGTGCTGGAAAGAAGATATTACGTCTTGTACGAGTACATTATCGGTCCCAACGGTACCAAGTTAATCCTGTAATTACTTTGCTCGGTGTATTTACTGGCGTGGAGTGTTAATCGCGGCAGTGTTATCTCGCGGTTTCCCAGAAGTCGTCTGAAATTGAATTATGGAATAACGAGGAGCGTCGGTTTCGGAAAGGTGTGCGACAAACGTCGATAGCAATTTCGCGGCGGGAAAGAGAGACGGAGGAGAAAAGGATGTCGAGCGGTCGAGCAAGCACTTTGCACAGATGAGGGGCATCCGTTGAATCGTTTCGCGGAGACCGGCGAAACCTACGCGTCCTGGCCGTTCTGGAAGGCGCATCGGCGCGCATTCCGCGCTCGTTTCGTGTCAAAGCTATCGGAGGTGTCGTGAAAACGAAAGTAGCCGATGCACAGAAAGAAATGCGTCGTGTCGTTGCATCGACGCGAGGCCTAGAACCGGTTCTGAACGAGTTTCTGGCATCGGAGTCCTCTATATTCTTTTCGTATACACGAAATCGCCCCGTGGAAAAGACCGATCGTTCGCGCGAGGCGATAGATAATCGATATAAAAACGCTGGAAACCGTGAATAACCCTGGGGGCTCGTGGAACGCGGCCAATGAATGAAAATCGTTCGATACACGGCCAATGGGGCGAGATTCGTCGCGACGATAAACGACCGCGACGGATACCTGGGCCGGGCGCGTGATCCAGAGATTCCTCCGGGACGATTCCGATCAATTTCATACTGAATTACACGCGAATTCGTTTCGATGCCGCGGCCTCGACCGGTCGCCACGATCCGAAAATCCACGAACGCAGAAATCGAGCGCCAGCGAACAGGGCACGGCTGGTACCTGTCTCGAAACGCGTAGGGTGTGGCTATAAATTCAGCCGGATAGGAACGAGATACTTAGCTTATCCTCGTGTAACAGAGTAGAAACCGTGCGCCGGGAGACGAATGGACACGGAATCCAATTAGCTGCGCATACTTCCATCAAATATTACCCTCCTTTAATTGGTTATTTATTAATTACCTCGACCCGTTACTGCTGCCCAACGATACCAACGAGTCTACGTTCCTTCCCGATACTTTCTTCCTATTTCCCATACCATCGAGAACCGAAATTCCAAGATGGCGTAAAACCTTTGGTACATCGAACCCTCTTTTCGTCGGTGGTTTAGAGTAAAATCAACTAGCTCCTGCGTTGGTTCCACGAGATTCTAATTAGTTTTCGACGACGGACAGCCGGACTTTTCGTTACGTCGCGACAGGGGATACCGATTCGAAGGGACAGCGAAACGGTGGAAACAAAGCGACCCTCGACCCGAACAGATGAAGGTACCTGCCAAGTATCGGGCCGCGATACCTGCCTCGGAATACCTGCCGGGCGTGGCAGTAAAATCTGTCGGATAGAAGCTGCGAGTATCGAGTCGATCTATAAACGATGTCACTTCCTATTTTGCTTGCGCGAACAGCGTATTAAAATATGTGAATTCGATACTTGGCTCTATCTTCTCCTGGCACCATACATCAAACACCGAACATTAATTTAAACTGGATAAATCAAGGAGTATTTCTTTTCACGGAAGGGACGGTTTTCGTAGGCCCGAGCGAAATAAGAAATTGGCAGTGCGGGGATAGCCACGATACGGAGATAATGAAGTGGAAGAAATTTACATCTTTGCATCGTTCAAGCTCATTAGAGATTTTCTGAGAGGGAAAAAAAGAAAAAGTTTTCTCAATTATATGTATCGAATAGTGCGGTGAATATTACTAGCTTAATTATAGCGCTGGAAACTGCGATAAAACCACGATAGAGTGTAAGTAACTCAAGCTGAAACTCGTCTAAAATAAGATTCGACGAAGAAAAGAAGAAAGTTTTTGTCAACAACGTAACTGGTTATGATTCTTACGGGTTCGAGCCAGACTTTTGGTCGTTTTCTCTTGTTTCGAAGCAAAGAACTAAATTCCTTTCGTTTTATTACTATTCTTTGTATCGTGGCTAGTTTATAATCTGACGATTAGCATATCGTAAGCAAGCACTACGTATATAGGTTCGTACGTAGCTTTTTCGATGTCTCTGTTTACTTTTTTAAGCATTCTCTGATCTGGCCACGTATTTGAATCATATAATTTATACAGAGTGCCTCGAATATTTAATCATAATTTCCTATAACATATCAGGCACCATTTTGAACACGCTGAGAATAATGGTATCGCGTGTATGCGATGATTTCATCTCAAACGGTAATAAACAATCGATAAAAAAGTTAAGTCGCCAAGTTTCTTTCGTGTTTCTGTTCGATTACGGTGACTGTAAACTCGTAACAACGATGTAAACAACGTATCCTGTTTATGGTGTTCGAAGTTCGCAAAAAGGACCGAGTCGTGTCGAGAAGACTCGCGAGGAAGGCGTCAAAGCTGCTTTCTGATATTCCGTACGGGACGAAGCAAGAACCAAACGATTAATGGGCTTGATAATGAAGCGCTTAAGACTTCAGTCGATGCAGGGTCGAGTTTAACGGTGGAGAGGATCGAGCGAAGATTGACTTCGTTTGTCAGGACGATTCATCGCCGCTTATTGAGAAGCGTGCAAACTCGAGTGTATTCTCAGCCGAAGCGTCATGCCATTAACGGTCAATTCTGACCCAAAACCACCTTTGCCACTTAGTTTTCAAATTAAGTTACGTGTAATACGTAGTCGCCTCCAGGTCTTAGCGTTTTCAAACAGGCAACCAGCAATCGAGACGCGATAGAATACAAGAGTTTAAAGGCATTGGGATAATCAGAGTCGGAGAAGCGTTGCGAATCGTTAGGGCTCCGGAGATAAGGTCTCCATATGATCCGCGATAACGAATAAAAATGGAATACGATCTTATTTAATGATGGTCGGTGTACCGGTGATTAATAAACGCGGTATGTTCGGTTTCTGGGTTGTACTAAGTTGATAAACGAAAAGGAGGTTGCTCGTGTAACGGCGCGAGCTATCGGTACCCGAGTATCCGGAGTCGTGGTCCATATCGGGTACAGAAGTCGTCCGTACTGTTCGGTACGGACGAATATTGAAAGGTTCAACGAGAGTAGCAGCTTCTCGCGAAAAGACGTACTGTTGGCGACGCATTGAAACCGGTTCTGAACGAGTATGGCTGGTAGCTCTCCGTCGTTTGATCCGGCAAGTGTAAACCACGGAAAGGATCTCTTCTTATACCAGTAGTTGAATGCGTTGCTCGCGACATCCTTCGGGCGTTGATTGCGCGCCACGAACGCCTTATCAGCGAATTCTTTCGGTGTCTGTGGGAGGGTCGACGGTCCGTTTAGAGGGCCGTTTCGTCCCGTGTCGCGTTCCCGCGAGAACGACTCCGTAGGCGTTTTCGCAGACACCTTACGACGAGAGATCGACGTTCCGACTCGGCGCTGGCCCTGGACCGTTCAATTAACGTACGACGAGCAAAAAGGCGCCGATCGGTTGACGATAAAACACGGCGACCGCGTCCGCGGCAACGAAAATCCTATTTCATCCGTTTATTACGTGTCGTTTGCGCGACGGTCACCCGAGACACGTCGTTCCGCGCGATTCGCATTATGGAAATGTCGATACGCTGCTCCTCGGACCAATTTTTCTCGAGCGTCGCGCCGATAAACATCGGCTTATCGCGTCCTCGGAAAAATCATTCGAGATCTCGGCGTCCGTTCTCGCGGGGATTCGCGAGCAATTTTGATCGAGGGCGAAATTACCGGAGATTTTTCGAGCATTAGCGAGTTAAAGAGCCCCCGAAAGGAGATAGGATCGCGGAGAGGGGCAGATCGTATCATCCCTCGGGTACCAGCCGGACGGTCTCGACACCTGGAGAATCACGAAACGTCGCCGTTACGCTCGTTTAACCCCGTTTAAAATGCCTCGTTATTCTTTTCCCGCTACGGGCGCGATAACTGAAAATAGACTTTCTCTATTGGCGAAACGTTGTCAACCGCCAAATTGCATTCTCGTACAATAGTTGTATGCACGGCTCTCTTTGACCAGTGCCGCCTGGTTTCTTCCTACCGAGCGAAACAACACGCAACGCCGTCACGAGATGCAGCGTGCTTTTTCCTCGAAAGCAATTACGCAGAAAAACATTCCCGATGGATCGAATAAGAGTTGGCGCGATCGGTTGCACGTTGTTCCGTCTCTGAATATATTGCGTGCCATTTCGCGCGAAAATCCAAACGGCCGCCTCGATCCCCGATCGTGGCGCGAGCCAACGGACGACAAACGGTTGTCCAATTAAATTTAATTGTAGCGATTTTGCTCGTTGATAGAGGCTGTCCGCGCGAACAACGCCACCGTCGCGGTTCGTCCGCGTTTCATGGAAATTTTCAGATTCGCCGGGTGAACCGAAGCGCGACACTGATCGGTTCGTTCGACGCCACCCCTCCCCCCCTCTCGATCATTGGCGACATCGCGTACAAGCTTTTCAGAAGGCGTCCATTAAATTACGGAATTTCAGACCGTTGCAATTTAACCCCTCGACGGTCGCGTTTCTTTGGCCTCACCCCTAAAAAACGATCGGTTTTTTTTGTCAGATTTGTTTCTTTCGTAAACTACGATGTCGTATCTCGCGACTTTTGCATATTTGAGCGAAGGAAAGCAATTGTTTTCATCCCTTAAACGACGAGACTGATGGCTACAGGGTTCTCGAGGCGACGGAACCCTCTGTTGTTCGCGGAGACGTCGGTCGAGGAAAAAGCTAGCTAGCTAGCGTAAGAAAAAAGGAAAAAAAGCAAAAGCAGGGTCGAGGAACTGACCGTCGATCAGAGACACTGGAGGCACGGTCATCTGTTGATGATGGTGGGCGGCCGGGTGCTGATGGGGATGCGGCGGATGTACCCGTAGCAGATGCGACCTCGTCTGCGAGAAGGTCGGCGAGGGTGGTTCCCAAGGGCGCGCGACGCCGGTGCTGACGGGGGCATCGTCGTCGTGACAGCAGAACTTGTCAGTGGCCGGGGTGGATCCGCTGCTGCAGTTCACCACCTGGTGCACTTCGTTGTTGTTGTTGTTCGTAACGTCCCCGTTATTGTTATTGTTGTTGGTGGCGTTATTGGCAGCGGTGAGACGCGTAGTAGTCGCGCCTGTCGCGGGGCTACCACTACCACTAGCACTGCCACTGACACTACCACTGCCAATGCCGTCGACCTGCACCATTTCGCTGTCGATCGCAGCCGCCGACTTGGCAGTACCAGGAGGGGTCGCGACGCCGCCACCGATCATCATCACCAGACGATCACCTCCACCCCCTCCACACCGGGCAGCAGCTCCTCCTCCTCCTCGCCGTCCCCCTCTGCCTCCACTTCTGCAGTTACGTCGTCCGTATGCTCGAGGCGTTTCTCTTCCTGCTTTCGCATCCGACGGCTACCTCGATCACTTTCAGCGGACGTGTTCCCGATCTTCCCGTGGTTCGCGCAGCCCCTGGGCTCCGGGACCGTGGACCGTGAGGCTCGGCACGCGCGGGGGTTGTTGTTCGATTCGAAAGTTCGGCGGCGAATAGAGTCACGTTTGACCGGACCGCGTGCACGCGCACCCACACAGTGTCACAAGTAGCAGGCTCTCGGGGTTGTTTGGCGTGTAGCGGGGGCGCTGGCGCAGGAGCGCGCGAGCGCAATCGACGAACCGTGGTTCGTCGTGGCTTCCTGCGTCCGATTAGCGAAGCAGAATGACATCCTGTCCGACGGGCCGACGGCGGGCACGGTTCATCGTGGCGCGAGCTTTCGCGTCGGCTGTCTGCTGTCGGTTGTCGGTCTCGGGCACGAGAGGACGAGAAGAAGCGTGGTCGATGCGACGAGGCGACGGCGAGGAGTGCTCGCGAGCGCAGGCGCTTCGTCGAAGCTCGTGACTACCTATGGACGTGTGTATGCCCTTCTCTCCGTCCCTCCCTCCGCCTCGTCGCCTCTTCTCAGCGGTTGATCTCTTTCGCTCGGTAGTTCCCGCTCGTTTCACGCCGTCTCTCTTTCGCCTTCCGGCCGAGTCCCGGCTCGGCTCCTTTCTCCAATAACCGACTCGACGAGGAACGCGCTGACCACGGGATAACCTGCTCGCGCTCCGCCGGATTCGAGCAGATTGCCTTCCCGCTCGGGCTTTCGAAGCGCGCCAACGACTAGCCTTACCCCCACCTGGTCGATCCCCGCGGGAACACCGACTCCTCGCCCGAGGCTAGGATCCAGATTTAAGGTAACGCGAGAGTCTCTTTGCTCGAATCGGCTCGCGATCGATCGATCGATCCTCGATCCACGCTCGTTCCTCGGTGCCACTCGACAGGATCGAGGAGATCGTCTCGATACCGATCCCGATCCCGTTCACCGTGCTACTCTCGATCGAGTATCGAAACCGCGCGAGAAAGGACGAACTTTTCGAGGCAGAACGGAGCGGCGCGAGTACATGGGGTAACCTGCTCGCGGTCCGCCGGATTCGAGCAGATTGCCTTCCGTTCGGTGGCTCGAAGCGCGCCCAGACTAGCCTTACCCCCACCCTCTCGGCCACTCGGTCGAGGTGAGATCAAGATTTAAGGCGCCGCGGCGCGGCTGCCCGCTGACGAAGACGAACAGGAGGACGCGGACGTCGAGGACGAGGAGGATGACGAGAAACGCGAGCAACGGCTAGAGCGAGCTAGCTAGCTCCAAGACGCAGGGCGCTCGCTCGCCTCGATTACGATCGCGCGCACCCGTGGATCGTAGAAGGAGGAAGAGGAGGCGACGAGCAGTCGCGGAGAGGTGGACGGACGAAGCGGTTTAGTCGAAGCTTGTATGCGGCGAACAAGGGGGAAGCAGGGAACCGCGAGGATACATGGAACATACCTGGCTAAAGCCAGCCAAGTGCGCACTCCGTGCCGCGCATCTGAGCTTACCTGACGCCCACCGACCATTACCGGCTCGATCGACCAATTGGGCGAACGGGTGGACGCCCACCGATCTGTCCAACCTCGCGCTCGTCGTCGCCCACGCCGCCGAGAACCAACGCGCCCTTCCGCCTTCCAATCGCTCCTCCGGTCTTTGTCGTTTCCGCGGACGGGATCGATTAATTCCCAAATCGGATGTCGATGTCGGATGCCGGCTACGCTCCGGAATCGCCGATTCCAACGATTAGCCTGCCGCAGGATCGGCTTTCCACTCGTCCCTTTTTCATACACGTTCTTTTCGATTGTTACAGACCCCGACTACTTTTCGAGAACGCCGAACGCGCCTCCGCCACACGCTCTCCAACCTGAATCTCGCGTTCGATGATCCACGAGCGAACGTCCTGCGAGGAATCTTGGCGTTCGTCGGATTCTTCGGATCTATCCACCTATCACAGACACCATAGTACAAAGGTATCCTTCCAATTATCTCGAGCAACTCATTTTGTTGCTATTCCATTGATTATCAAGTTTAATAACACCAGCTTGCAGCTCTTTCTTATGGTGGACTGCGAGTAGAGTACAACTTATTATCGTTTTTTTGTTAAACACGATTGAATGTACCTACGTATCATAGTAGAAAAAGCTACGTACGTCCAAACAATTACATAGTTCTTTACTTACTGGCGTCTCGACATCTGGACGAGCAAAAGAAAATCGAACGTTTTCCATGGTTGTTTCGACACGAATACGGGAATGCTCGAGCGTTTCTATTTAGCGGCAAAGTGTCGTTGCTTTCTCATTCCCTGGCCATCGTGCGTTACCTGTTCGCGTCGATTCCGCAAATAACCAGGCTATAATACCGCGGAAGAAATATCACGCGCAGTCCATCGACCCGACTTTAGCTGCTCTTTAATTTTTTCGCTCCGGGAACGTGCAAGCTATAAAAACTTAAACCGATCGTCTTTTCCCGGTAATTAGCAACAAGAAGGAATATGTTTAAACTGTCGGGGTTCATGGGAAAATGGCGGCAGTGTAAAGAACCGGATATAGTAGAAACGCGCAACGTCGCGTGGAGAACGCGAACAGTTTCTTCTACGTGGGTTTTATTTGTACCTGTAGGATTTCGTTCGACTCTGCTAGGTTCGGAGGGACGGCTCGCTAACGTTTCTAAAAAAACACAAAGCAACAACGGAAATACCGTTTCAATCGCCTTTTTATCGGACACGGTTCGACGGGTGATAACCAAATAGAGGCTGCACGATCGTTTCGACGTTTCGCTGGGAGCGACGCGGATCAAAATAGGGAAGAGTTCGCGGAAAACCGTTTCGAGAAGGTCTCGCCCCGGATGTTAGTCCAGATGCAACAAACCGTATAAAGAGCAACAATTTTCTAGCTACTTCGTTGTCGAGGATCTCACGCGAAGAGATCTCGAGGATCATCAATTTTGTCTGGTTGCGTGCCGCCATTTAAACTCTTTTCCAACGCGCGAAAAAAACGAGAAACAATCGTCCGTATCACGGTTTTAATCGCTTTGCTTTTGCATAACAACGTCGCGTTTTCGCGATCGACGCAACCCTTTCAGAAGGCGGTTGCTTTCATCGAAAAACCCCAAGGTTAAGGTTTCTTTCGCGAGGATTGTCACGAGATGTTGCAACAACGGTCGTGCCTAGCTTTTTCTACGACTCGATCATGCGAGGTCATCATTTTATTGGGACTTGCCGTACAGAATAATCGTATCGTGTACGGATCGTTTAAGCGCGGGAATCCGGATACGCGAATCTTGTATTTTCGGTGGAAAGCCACGGATAACATAATCTTCGGGGTCGGATCGAAGAGACGCGAGGCAAGGAAAGTAACGAGTACGATGCAAATTCTTTCTTACGATAGGGGCTCCTCGCGTGTCAGGGCACATACCAGCAGATCGATGGTACCTACCTCTTGGAAAAAGGTTCATGGAATATCGATCTCAAAATGCCGTGTTTTTCTGCATCGGTCGTGCCGTGATATCGCGAATAATAGCTGTGCACCTGCAGAGAACGCTTTACCATCGGCTGTACTCGCAGTAACGATGCCTCGAGTAAGTACACGAATTTCGTGGTCTGAAAGTTCCTGTCGTTGGAAACGAAACATCATCGTAACACGAGTCTTGGGATACACAGTCGCGACCATACACGCTCATACGATAAATAATGTTTAATTTATTAAGTATTTCAAAGCACAAGACCGTCACTGTAAGTATAATCGTCGAAGCGTGGGTCTCCACCGCGACAGAATCGTTTGTGCAATTTCTGTGTTTGGTCAGTTTCCTTGGATAAATATTTGATAGTCGGCTGCATTGCCTCGTAGCATTTTCAAACTATAGATCGTAGAAACGAGGTGAGAAAATGCAAACGTGTTCGTTGGTCTTTGAATCGCTGCTCGTTCGTTTCCGTAAAGTTTCCGTCTATTTCGAGACCAGAGAAGAAAAGAACGGTCGCTCGATCGATGCGTCGAGTAAAATTTTTAAGCTTCTTTTATCTCAAACGTAAACTGAACTTTCGAATAGGCTATAACGATTAGAACCTTTGTGTTAATTTTTTATTAATCGCCCGGAGTTAAATTGCATAAGAACGGACAGGTTCAAGAACGATCGCCTACAGAAGCAATCTATTTTCAATCGAGAATTCTGATCGGTGATCCAATCGGTAGCCGATACGTTTCTCCAAATTCTTTTTTTCGTACGATGTGTTGTTTCGCCGAAGGTGATGCGTCATCTGTATTTTATCCATAAAGGTATTTGACCATATCAAATCTTGGAATTGGCTCGTTGTTTAAAACCGGTTGGCAGGTAGTTTTCTTTGACGCTTAGCGATTTGGTTTCGTTAGCGTTTACGCGTCATTTGGACGACCGTAGTTGCGCTTGATCTAGATGTTCTTGGAGGTGTTCGGATCATACAGGGAGTTTTCATTTACTGTCATTATAGCTGTGTCATCGACAAAGGTTGTTATTATCGTGTTGAAGGCGATTGGTACGTCCGAGGTGTATATTAAAAATAAGTAGGGCTCCAGGACGCTACCTCGAGGTACACCAGAGCTGATTGTACCATGTGCGAAGAGCGTGTTAGCGTAGGCAGTTGAATCAAAGGATTGGAACGCTATTGCACAATGGACAGATAATTTTTATTGGACCTAATTGTTAGCGGTCGTTTAAGGGATGGTAACGCGAACTCGCTGGCCCGCAATCTCACGGTTCGAAGTGTTATTTTTGGGCTATATCCGATGACAAAGCGTGGGCTGAACGAGTTATGCGAGACGGGGCCAGAAAAGTTTGGGAATGATCCATTTAGAGCACGAAACTCGATATTCGGCGGAACCAGCTAAAGCACTGGAACAATATGCCGGCTATTAAGCCGCTACT